TAATTCAATCTTAAGTGGAAACAATAAGCAATAAACTCTCCGTTTAAAGCCAATAGAGTACTTGGTATGATAAAGTGTACCTTGAGTTGTGTATATAAACAAATATTTTAATTACTTATACTAAACTTGTCCATTCACATCTTTTTTTTATTATTATTCTTCTATTTTAAGTGCCCCAAGAAGACCTAATGGTCTTATCACAGAGCACTGCGGAAGATTCCCTGATGAATTAAAAATAGCTAAAGTTTTACCAATGTTTAAAGTTGGAGACTTAATTATTGTTAGTAATTACCGTCCGATATCTGTTCTCTCTGTTTTCTCAAAAATTATAGTGAGAATTCTATATAATAAAAATTTTTATCATATTTCTCAAAATAAAATTCTACCCAAAAATCAATATGGATTTTAAAAAAAAAACTCCACTGAACACACTATACTCCAAATAACACAATATATTACTGAATCATTTAAAAATTCCAAATTTACTTCAGGCATTTTTATTGACTTGTCTAAAGCCTTCAATACAATTGATCTTAAAATTCTATTAAAAATAAATAAATATTATGGAATCTCTGGCAATGTTTGAAGCTTGTAAAAAGTAATAGAAAGCAGTTTATTCACTATTATTGTATTATCGAAGTCTAAATTGTTAGATGTAACATGCGGAGTATGCGGACCTCTACTATTTCTTATTTACATAAACGATCTTTATGAAGCATCTAATTTAATGATAATTATGTTTGCTGAAGACACGAATTTTTTATCTCATAGCAATATAACGACGCTATTTCAAAGTATGAACATAGAATTAATTAAATTTTCTGAATAGTTTAAATTAAATAAGCTTTTTCTTAATATTGAAAAAACAAAATGGTCTCTCTTTCATCCATACTAAAAAAAACATCTTCTACCAAGTGAATCGCCTGCTCTTTTTATAGATGACATGCAAATTAAAAGAGTAACGACTACAAATTTTTTAGTTACTCTTTTAATTTGAATGTCATCTTCTTTTTTTTTTTTTTTTTTTTTCTTGAAAAAAAAAGATGACATGCAAATTGAAAGAGTACGACTACAAATTTCTCAAGGGTTTTTATTGATGAAAATCTGACATGAAAAAAACACATTGAAATATCTTCGTACTTTGAAAAGTATAGGAATACTTTTCAAAATGCGAAGCATGCTAAATAAACATAGTTTAATTTAGCTATACTTCTTTTTTATTCATTGCCATCGAAACTATGCGAATGCGGCTTCGGTTAATGTAAGCAAAACTAAATTAGAACCACTTTATTGCCAACAGAAACATTTTGCACGACTTATTAATTTTAAACATCGTTTTTATCATGCTAAGCCTCTTTTAAACGAAATGAAATGTATTGTGTTTTATGTATAAATGTAAAACTCGCACATCTCAAATTTCTTTTCACAGTTCTATAAAAGTTAAAAATAAATACAATTTGCGTAATGAAAATTTTATTCTGCAACCTGTTTTCAAAACTAATTTTGGTAAATTTTGATTTCGATTTAGAAGAGCATTTTGTATTTTATTTAGAGGAGCATTTTTATGTTTCATTTAGAGGAGCATTTTTATGTTTCATTTAGAGAAGCATTTTTATGTTTCATTTAGAGAAGCATTTCTATGTTTCATTTAGAGGAGCACTTTTATGTTTCATTTAGAGAAGCATTTCTATGTTTCATTTAGAGAAGCATTTTTATGTTTCATTTAGAGAAGCATTTTTATGTTTCATTTAGAGGAGCATTTTTATGTTTCATTTAGAGAAGCATTTTTATGTTTCATTTAGAGAAGCATTTTTATGTTTCATTTAGAGAAGCATTTTTATGTTTCATTTAGAGGAGCATTTTTATGTTTCATTTAGAGAAGCATTTTTATGTTTCATTTAGAGAAGCATTTTTATGTTTCATTTAGAGAAGCATTTTTATGTTTTATTTAGAGAAGCATTTTTATGTTTCATTTAGAGGAGCATTTTTATGTTTTATTTAGAGAAGCATTTTTATGTTTCATTTAGAGAAGCATTTTTATGTTTCATTTAGAGAAGCATTTCTATGTTTCATTTAGAGGAGCATTTTTATGTTTCATTTAGAGAAGCATTTCTATGTTTCATTTAGAGAAGCATTTTTATGTTTCATTTAGAGAAGCATTTTTATGTTTCATTTAGAGGAGCATTTTTATGTTTCATTTAGAGAAGCATTTTTATGTTTCATTTAGAGAAGCATTTTTATGTTTCATTTAGAGAAGCATTTTTATGTTTCATTTAGAGGAGCATTTTTATGTTTCATTTAGAGAAGCATTTTTATGTTTCATTTAGAGAAGCATTTTTATGTTTCATTTAGAGAAGCATTTTTATGTTTCATTTAGAGAAGCATTTTTATGTTTCATTTAGATTAGCATTTTTATGTTTAATTTAGAGGAGCATTTTTATGTTTCATTTAGAGAAGTATTTTTATGTTTCATTTAGAGAAGCATTTTTATGTTTCATTTAGAGAAGCATTTTTATGTTTCATTTAGAGAAGCATTTTTATGTTTCATTTAGAGAAGCATTTTTATGTTTCATTTAGAGAAGCATTTTTATGCTTCATTTAGAGGAGCATTTTTATGGAACAATGTAGTGTTAAAACTTTTTGATTTTTCTCAAAAATGAAGCTTTTTCTTATTTAAAAGGAAATTAAAAAACATTCTTGTATATTTTTAAGTTTGTTTTGGTTTTTATAAACACTCTGAAGAAATCTTTTATCGTAATTTATATATACGAAATCTTTTATCTTAAAGGTTTTTTTTTTTTAATTTAAAATCTGTTTAGGCGGTTCTCGATGACAAGATCTTATTCTTAATAAGCGTTTTTATTGTAACGTTAACCAAATTTGTATTTCTTACTAAATGTATTTTATTCATTCTTATATCGTAAAATGTTTTTTTAAATAAATAAAAAGAACAAAAAAAAAAAAAAAAAAAAGCACTTATCCAGAAAGTTTACGCCTCCTTCCTAACTAATGGCCCAAAATATACCCAGAGCTCGCTTTGAATCCTGGATCTGCTTCTAAAACAAGCGCTTTAACCACTGCGCTACAGCTGCTCTTGACATCTTGAATACGGTATTGCTACATTAGTCATAGATATATAAATTACTATTTAGTAATTTATATGTCTTTGGTAATAATAGTCACAGCTTTATTAAACTGTGGGCTTTTAGTTCTTCAGTGCTGTTGCAACCAATAGTAAACACCTTTCTCATTTTGCGAATCTTCTTAAATAAATTTAAAATTCCTTTGTATTTCTTTATGACATCTTTCAATAACAAAGCTTTTCGTAATATTTCTATCAACTTTACCATTTTTCTGGACGACTTTTTAAAAAAATCCAGCTCTAAGAAAGGGACTTTTATATCTTTTTTCCAATACATTGTTGAAAATCACATTATTAGGCAGTAATATCAAATTAACATTTAACGTCTTTAAATGTGAACAGAGACTTACATATCAAGGTAATATGTAAACCTCTGGTATTATCGGTATTCAAGTAGTATTCCTGTATTAGAAACTACAGGAATAGATGCACAAATATTTTCATATTTCTTAGCTAAAATATTAGATATTTCACTTACAGTTGGCTCCTTTACTGATATATGTTTTGAGGTTATGTTTTATTAGAAGATAGCACTTCATTAAATCTTTATATATTGGAAATATTATTTCACACAAGTCATCAAAATTAGTTTTATTGACTTAAGTGAAGTAATGTTTCCAATATACAAAGATGTAACGAAGTGCTATCTTCTTATAAAACACTACCTTAAACCAGATAAAAAATAGTGGAGTTTCTAATTTTAGATTTACCTATAATTAGAAACTCCACCATTTTTTTTAGTTATGGATACTACATTATATAATAGCAATAATAACGATTTATAAACAAAATGTTTCACATTTGATATTTTCCAGACATAAAAAACCTTTTAAGCTTTTTTGTCAGTTAAAAGCTTAAAAGAACAAAATTATTAAAATTTATTGTAAAATTTTTTTACGAAATTTTTACCATCAATAGGCTTTTTTTACGCACTATTAAAAACTGTTTAAAAAGTTATACACACAGGCACGCACACACACGAAATATTTTTTAGAATTTTACCTAAAAAAATTTTCTGTAATAAATTTTAAAATTCAGATTTAACAGTATTTACAAAAAAAGCGATATTGCATTGTCTCATAGATACAACATTGAGAACTGTTTTGTTTCCTTGTGGATGTAAAAGATTTTATTTCCTTAAGGAGTTAAAAGACTTTACTTCCTTGTGAAGTTTAAAGAATTTCTTAAACTAAACTAGATTAATAATCTTACAAACAAACAATAAATATAAAAAAACTTCATAAAATTTTTAAAATTAAAAAAGCTTCTAAAACAAGCTAAGAAAAGATCTTTCAATACAATATTTATAACACTGTTTTTAAAAACAACTAATATAATTAAAAAAAAATCTGTTGAAAAAATAATAAATAAAAATATTTTATAAGTTTACATTTTTGAAAGGAAACAAATTTAAAATTTATAAATAATATATAGTAAATAAAATTTTCATTTTGTGTTAACACGAAGTTTATAGGACTGTTGCTTAAATTATATATATTAAATAATATAAATTACTACGCAATATAAATTAATTTAAAAATATTTGAAACATAGCATTACTTCTTAAAATTATTTAACAACTTAAAACAAATATTGTTGAGATACGATAAAAAAAATATTGCTGATATATTAACAAAATATTTTAGAATGTTTTCTGTATTTTAATAGTGACGAAGAAAAGTCGTCATCTTGTGTCAAATGTTAATCATTATTTGACGATTATTCTTAATTTGATTATTTTTAATGTTTGAAAGTTCTATGAGAATAATATAAAACTGAAACGTAAATATTTTGAACATTAACATAAAAATTTATTTAAAAATTTATTTATAAGTTTAATTTTATTTAAACAATTATATAAATCATAAGTAAACATTTATTACATCTTTAATTAGAATTAAAATTACTAAATTACATTTTTACTGCTCGATATATACAAGCTTACAATTTTTGATTATTTGTTACATTTAAATTTATTATACACAAAAATTCTCATTGACCTGTTTTCATAAATATGATAAACGAGATTATAGCCTTAGGGCGCTAACTACAATCGAGCAAATTTAGATGTTACTCGGTGTAAACTACAATCGAGCAAATTTAGATGTTACTCGGTACAAACTACAATCGAACAAATTTAGATGTTACTCGGTGTTAACTACAATCGAGCAAATTCAGATGTTACTCAAAGATCTTTTATTTTGAAACTGTTATGATCGACTTAAATTAAGCATATTATGTATATTATACATTCAATATAGAGTCGTAAACGTTGCGTAGCTATAACCATCGTAATGTCTATTTGTCTACTCTCCATATAATAATGCGAATTATTGATTGCTTTTCCATCGGGTGGTCGCCTTTTAATGAAAAAGAGGAAGCTTCCTTAGTTACCTTCCCATACGTCTTGTATCTGCTTGGCTTTGAGTCTTTTTTGTTCTAACGCATAAGATAAAGGTAATTGTTCTAACGCACAAGATAAAGAAAAAAAAAACTAAATCTTCAAGTTTTAAAAAGTAATTTTTTTTTTTACCTCGAGCTTCTTTTAAAACGTTCCTGTCTTTAATCTTTTGTTCATTAGTTAGGTTTGTTTTAATTCCTAAAGCTCCTGAAATCAAATTTCGTGCTACAGATCCAGTTGTCGGCGGGCGTTTTTTATAAGGCAGAAGTACATCTGAATATAAAACAATATAAAAATAAACTTATAGTATAAAATAAAAAAATGTAAAATACCATTTTAAAGATATTTAAAAAAAAATTTACATTAAAAATATTAAAAATAAAATATATTATCAATAAATATTGAACCAAAAAAAAAACCTTTAAATTCTCTCGCTTTTATTTTTGACTGTCTTGTTCCATTAATGACCTGTCTCATCTGAAGCATCGGCGAATAACTCTTGATAGCTTCATGTGCTAAAATAAGATAAAATTACGATAAAATATATCAAATTTAAACTAACAATAAAAATAATGGTTATTAACAATTATTAATACAATTTATAAACAATAAATTTTAGTTTCAACAAAACTCTTGTGTTTTTCACAACACAGGTTCTGTATTTTCAACAGAATTTTTTTGTTTTTTAAACATAGGCTCTGTATTTTCAAAGAATTAATGTAAACTGGTTTTCTTGGTTTCACGGCTGTTTCAAACCGAGCTTAACGGCTTCTTGTTAATTTTTGAAAATATTGACTAAAGGGGTGTTACTAAAACTTTTATAACTTTTGAAATATAAGAGGTAATTTTGTTTTGTAAAAACAATTAAGACATCAATAAAATGTTTTACCTTATGACATTTAATGCATTAGTAGAAAAACTTCTTTTAGTTTAGAATAAATATGACATATATTGAATTTGGCTAAATTTTTGTAATTTGATGTTACTTTTTATCAAAAAAAAAATAGAAAAATATATTCCTAATAGTTATTATCAAATACACTTATTGTTTGACAATAATGAAAACAAAAAAACCTTACTTAATTATTTAAGGTTAACTAAAACAGCCTTAATCGAATTGTGAAAGCAAACCACATTTTTCGCAAAATTATGAAAAACGTCGTTATAAGGGGGGATTAGTTGTTAAATGAGTACTTTTTTTAATATAGAAGTTCTTGATTTAGAAAATTATTTTGGAACGCTGATAAAATCATTACATTACAAAATAAAGTTCTAATAATATGGTGTTAGGTAGTTAATAAATAAAAACTCATCAATTCTAATAAAATAATTCATGACCAAAATTGAGTTAAAGGTTTTGAATTAACCTAGCTTTTGGTAGTAGAATTATTTTATGGTACTTGTATCAATAATCTCTTCTCACAAAAAATAAAGTGTTTAAATATACACAAATAGCTGATTTAAATCTTTTGATAATTCGTTTTTATTTTCATTAAAAACTGTTTTATAATTAGTTGGTCCATTGATATGTTCTTCAAGCAGTAAACTATCTTTGAACACCCAGATGATACTAGACTCATACATAATTCATTTAAAACCAGAAGAACATTTGGTCAACTTGGCAATTGTGATAATAAAGTTTACAACTTCTTAATTTATCAAGCTAAATTTTTACACCAACTTGATAAATGAGACTTATATTCCATTCTTTAACCAGAGAGGAGGTATGTAGAGCAGAGGTCCTGCGAAGGTAGAACTAACTTTTGATGATAAAAATTGAACGGAGATCTAATATATATAAAAAATGTTACATATTACATAACAAAGGATAAAACGTTTTTTGAATTAACTACATAAACATACAAAATCATATCCAACAAACATACCAGTTGCTCTGATCACAAATTAAAATAGTTAGCTATACATTTGATGCTAGACTTTTATTCCATTCTTTAACCTGAGCAAAGGCATTGCATAGATATAATAAACTTTTGAAAATAGGAACAGAATGGGCATCTACCTAATATATAAAATCATTGTAATAAAAAATTATTATTATTTTGAACAAACATTACAGGCATTAAAACAGAATAGAATTCTCTTATTTGTAAATTAAGGATCTTATATAATTTATCTTAGATGTAAAAAGTTTAATTTTTTTTTTAACTTTTCAAACATTTAAACTAAATTTGATGACCACAAACAAGACAAAGACCTTGTCTATAAAATGAATTTTCGCCACGCTCTGAACACACAACACACTTTCTCACCTTAGAGGCTTGAAGCTTCCTATCAGCTTTGCTGTGCAATTCAAAGCGTTTTAAAACAAGATGCAGCTTTTGCTCCTGATTTCTAACTGAATGCAACTGCCTTAATTCCTTATTTACGCTATTATGCAAACACTCTCCCTCCTCTTCACTCAGCAACCCAATAGTTTTATGCAATTTTACAAATAGTGGCACATTGAAAATGAGTTCATGCATTTTTCGCGTGATACTTTCTTTTGGAAAGCAAGCATGAAACTCAATAGCAAATAAATTTATATATTGATGAAGCTCAGAAATTTCGGCATCAGAAAGAAATTTTCGCTTAAAAAGAATAGGTTGCAAGTTATTAAAAACACTAAACACACGTACAAATCTATTTTTAATTGCTTCATCATCAATAACACTACAAAGTTTATAGTGGTTTCTTAATACTATTTTACAATGATTACCTACAAATACATTACCATGGTAAGCTTGTCGCTCAACTTTCATATCTTCAAGGGCCTTATAAAGAGACCTCTCATGAGTCCCCATGCTACTTATAGATATTTTTTCTAGGTCTTCACACTCTATCTGCAATCGAATATACTCAACGTCTAAAACTTCGCGCTGTGCGCGTATAAAAGAAATTTTTTCAGAAATATAAAGGTCAAGACATTCTAAATCTTCACCCTGACATGCTAAACACTCATACTTCTCTATATCACACAATACATTCTTTTCCGAACCACCAATAATTTCACAAAATTGATGGAACAATTTTTGGCACGTACCACACTGCACCCAATCAATGTTACAATCATATTTAGTAATTAAACACCTGATACTAGCACACTTTTCTTGCTGTTTACAGGTTTTTTTTTTATTGGAGGAGTTTAGAGATATGCATTCCAATTCAGAAATATTTTTATCAAAAGCTAACCAACGAGTCTGTAGATTTGCAACGTCTACAAATTGATTTCCTAATAAACGTAAAGAGTCTGCTGTTTTAGAACATTCAAAGCTTTTAGCAGCCCACAATTCATTCGTTCTCACATTCTCATTATGCGACAAAGACGAAACAGCTTGACAATCCAAAATCTTACACTCCTTCAACAATAACTTATAAAGTTTTAACACAACTCCTAACATAATATGCAAAACAGGTGGCACTACATTATCTAAAGTTATTATGGGGAAAATCACAGGAGCAATAATTGAATTATGAAACTTACCTAGAGCTCTTAGGTTTCCACCTTGTCTATCTTCACACAAGTTCTCATTGTAAGCACTTTCCAGAGATTGTATTGTCCTCCTTAAGATGTTACAATTAGCAGGTGTGTGAGGCATAGAAGCATGGTTTCTTAGAGAATTCAACTTAACTAGGTCTGTAGAACTAGGAAAGCTAGCAGCTGAACCCTGGTGTCCCAGAACATCATCGATAAAATGAAAATCTCCACCTAAGAACAACCTGACTATTTTGCCTTTTAGCTTAAAATCTGACGACTGAATTCTTTTAATGTCGTTGGCATAATGCCCGAGAACTAAGGCAATATTCTCACGACAGTCTGAACCCTGATACATACAAAATAAATGAACATCATATACAGACCCTGATGATTTAGAATTGACAACTTCAAAATGGAATTTCATATACTTCCCACCCTTATCCCCAGCAAAAAGGAGCCATACCTCTTCGCAAAAACCGACATCAGAATTGAAGTGGTCACGAACGTGCAGACTATTGAAAACCTCTTCAATATAAGTTATCAAATTCTTGACCATCAATACAGGTACTAAACAAGGTGCTTCATTCGCAGATGGATAAAGCAACATGGACTTTACAATAACATGTTCTTTACTAACATGCATTGTCCGCATTTCTTGTTCTTGTCTTATCTTGGGCTCAGATGAAAGAATCCTTGCACCAAGATTACACAGAATACGTCTTAGCCTACGGAATTCAGCTGTGGGCATCCTTAATTGGCTCTGCAGCTCTACAGCATCAGAAACACTTAACTGCCTAACTAAACCCAACTTATTTGCAACACAATGAAACATAGACTTTTCACAAGACACAGAATCACAAAACAACATAGACAAATCACTTTCCAAATCTGAACAAGCTAATAATCGAAGGAATATAAAAGCAAGTTTAGATCGTCTAGCTGCAGCATGCCTACCTAACTTAGAATAAGATTTACCATCTCCTAACTTAATGTAAGTATATTTCTTACCAACTATTGGCTTTTTAACTGATATAGTCTGTGGATTACTTAATTTAAACCCACAGAATAATTCAGAGGCACCAATGTTGTCATAGTCTAAATAAGAATCAACGACAACTAAATCGTTATCACTGCTAGCAAAATATTTGCAAATTTGGCAACTGTTCTTGTTTATATCACTGATTTTTGCATTTTTTTTTTCAAATTTAAATTTTTTTAGCAATCTTACATTTTTGGCACGAGCAGATGCAAATTTACGGTGTGCTGTTTTTAATTTTTTTTTTTTTAAAAGTTGGAACTGCTCCTCCTGTTTTAGCCTAATACTCATAGTCTCTAATTGAGAACTTAATGAGTTACAATGTGCGTTGAGAGCCTTGTTTTTAGAATTTAAATATATAACTTCAGTTTCCAACTTTGATACCTGTATTTTTAAATTATCTATTTGCTCCACATTATTTTTTTCTTTAGAAATTAATTGTTCAACTTGACTACTTAGTTCCTTATTCCTATTTAAAATATAAAAATTATCTGCATCTGCTGATTTTTTTTGTTTTTTTGTTTGTGGAGCTGGAGACAGTTGCATTTTAAAAAATGCTTCGTTTTTTGAAGCTTCAAAATACTTTTTAGAATCTTTTTTTCTTTGTTTTATTTTTCGGCACATTTTATTTAACACATCAATATTAGGCATATTAAACTCAATTGGCAAAAGAAAACTTAAAAAAGTAAACAACGCTTTTGGATGAAAAACTGTTAATAAAATTGAAATCACATTGTTAGTGATCTTACTAGTGTCAATTACTCGCTTTACAAAATTAAAGTTATACTCATTTTCCCAACCATCTTCCCAACCGATGTACAGTTTCAAAATTTCCCTCTCAGTTGCATACATCACATAAATAATGATAATGATATTATAATAATAATATAATAAAAGAAATTAAATAAAATAATATTTACAAATAAATACACTAAAAATAAAAGAATTAAGCAACTTATCTGAGATTAGTCGAATATCCACGAGGAAATAATCCACGAAACTTT